GAGCTAAAACCTCCCGCTTCCTCTTTGCTCCTGCTTTTTTCCCCCCCATTTTTCGCTGGAGCCTTGGGAAGCATCCACACAAGTGCAAAATTATTTCCATGCAGGCTTCGCTCAGGCTAAAACTCCATGGCTGCTGGTGCACAAGTCCCTGCACGGCTCTTGAACAAATTGGACCAATTTGGAGTGATTAGGGAAGAATTCACATATGGTGCCCAGCCAGCTTTGCCGACCAATTGCCTCCTGCAGCCCATTAAGAGCCATTTACTATGATGGGCCCATTTGTCTTTGTTGTTAGTTCTGGCACGGCCAGTGACAGATCTTTGGCTGGCCACTGGGCCAACCTCTCCCTGGCTTCATCTCGGGGGTRAGAGGGCAAGGCTGAGACACACATGGAGTCTGACACCAGCTGATGGATGTCCCAAGGAGCCCTGCCAGGCCGGGCTGCGGGGCCTCACCAAGGATCTGGAAGAGGAATTGCCATTTGGGGTTGCACATTGGGTACCACCACCAACCTGGGGCCTCATGGTGCGTGTGAAGCCTTTGGACCTTGCCTGCTGCTGGATGTGATGGCCACGCTGCGATAAGAGGATGGCTGGGGCAACAGGGAAAGTCTTCTCCCCTTGCCACCGAGCCACATGAGCACYGATGTCCATGGTCTTCTAGTAGGATCCTTCCATAGAAGACCAAAGCTTCAACCCATGAAGAGTTGGCAATGAAGAAACCATCTTAAGAGCCAGTGGATGTTCTGCTGAGGAAAAATCCAAGCAGCAGCAAGGAGCAGGAGTAGCCTGGAAACATATTTGAATTTCTCTAGAATTAAACGGCAGCATCAGAAGAGCACGAGTGCATTGCCGTGGCAAAGATCTGCTTTCTACTGGCGTAACGACTCCGGCAAAGGACGGTGACTAGGCCGTGTTGGTGAGGGTATGTTTACACCGGTGTTATCATAACAAGACGGGTGATTATCTGCTCATGACTACGCGGGTGAAAAATTCATATCCTTCAACTGACACAGGTGCCACAGTGCGAAACAGGCAGCCAGGCTGCGAGACAAACGCAGCCCTGGGGGAAATACGGGCACGTTGTATAGGTTTTGTCTTGGAGACTTGTAATATGTGACCCAAAGAAGGACAATCCAGCCTGGAGACGTTGTCCTTTATTAGAGCTTCACAAGTGCCTGATGTTTTCAGGCTTTGGCAGGTCTAGGATTTTTTTTTATATATATATATATATATATATATATATATTTTTTTTTTTTTTTTTTGATTTGATTCTTTTGGGTTGACCCAAAGTGAATTTTTGGAGGGGCTAGAAAGCAGAAAAAAAAAAAAGTCTTTCAAAACAAAGATTTTGAGGAACATCTCAGTTTTGGATCAGAAAGAACTAAAAGTCTTTTTATCCCCCCAAAATCTTTAAACTATTGCTCCTACCAAAGTAATCACCTAGAATTACCATGAAACCCTTTGCCTGACCAGCATTTACAATAATTCATAAACAAGAAAAGTTTCAGGCAAGTCTTTTTGCTTCCTAGCAGAGCTCGGATCTTCTTTGAAATGGGACTTTGGATGTTTGATCTGTTTTGACCTTTTTATAAAGGGAAAAATAGAGCAATGCTACCCCCTTCCCTGGCAGTCAACTTGCTCTGTCAAAGCTGAGCGGCGTTTTAGCACTTGGGTGCCTTTGACCATGTCAACTTATACRTTGCTGGGTGTTGACAGTCCCTATTGTGTCAATCCAGGGTAATTTAGAACTTGATCCAGAGCTTTGAAACCTCTTGGCCTGACATGGACTTTCTGAAGCAAGACACTGTCAACGTTCTTTGGAGGGAGGACAAGGGCGCCAAGAGGTTTCTGTCCCAGGCCATAGGGCACCAAGACACCTGGATCCGTTCAGAGCTGATTCCGACACTGCTATTTATCCAGCTCCTCAGCAATTGGGRCTATTTGAGGAATTGGGGTCAATTAGAAGCAGCCTTCACCTGTCTTGCCTCGCCAGCCAACTGGAGCCAGATGGCAACCTGTAGCGCTGGTCTCTCCCTTTGTGCAATACTCAGTATGTCCTGCTGGACAAATGAACTTGGAGCTTTGGGGTTGGGGCAAGTGAACTTGGAGCTTGGGGTTACAAACCAGCTTGCAGTGTTGTCTGCAGCACAAGGACAGAGGTGGAAGGAGTGAAAAGGAGACCTTCGTTCCCTAGGAGCAGGTCCCAGTTGCTTTAATAAATAATCTCCGGAGAAATCTGGCTAATCCAAATCATCAGCTGCACCCATTAATTCCTTGTCCAAAACAGTGTTCTTATCTCCTACTGATGGCACCTATGCTAGAGATAATTTTGCCTCCCTCAAAGTCATCCGAGCTCTGGTTTCCTCTACACTGTGCAGGCTGCAGAAGGGCTTGGACATAGCCTCATAGTTGGGAATCTGGTCCAAATCCATCACCTGTTTAATATCTTAGACGGCAATAATCTCAGGGAATGCCAGGAGGCTGACCCCGAGCATCCCCAAATCCCTCTGTGTTGCTTCTCTCCAAATTACAGGGGTGGTGAGTAAGTTCCAGGGATTCAGGCTGGAATTTCATGAACACTTTGAGATTAAATCTGCAGTAAATCCAGACATGTCCAGCCTGCAGCTACTCAAAAGGGCTTTTCAAAAGCACAAGCGGATTTAGGGGTTTGTAGATGAGAGTTAGGCTCTTGAAAGACATTTCTACCTTCACTAATCTCTCTAGCAGACTCCAGCACAGTTGTACGTTGCCCACCAAATTCCCACGACGTCACCCTTTCCTTATTATTGCTCTAAATTATAATAAATGGTTCATATTGCATTGGAGAGCGTGGTAGGAGTGCCTTGAGCCTGTTAGCCTCTCCAGAAACTCCTGTCCATTCCTCAGGGTGTCCTGATGCGTGGGGCACTGCATAGGGAATTCTTTCTTCTTGTTGTAGTTGTTGTTATAGGGTGTTTGGGTACAGCTTGTCAGCCCGCCAGAGGCTTYAAGTTTTTTGCCAGGAATGTCAAAAGTGCCAAATTTTCGTCGGTGTGCCTCATTTTTCTCCTGCCCTCTCGTGTTGCCATTGCACCCGTTGCAAACGTGCTGATCTGGAGCGGGGATGTTTGGCACGCGGCGTCCTCTTCGTCCCAGCTCCTGGGCTTCCCGAGTGCCTGCGATGATTCAGCAGCAGGTCACGCACGCGCCGTCTCCTGCCAGGGCGATGTGCACCACAAACGAGCAAAGTAAGCGAAACTGGGCCAGCAAATAAAAAAAGTGCTGCCAGCTCCGGCTCTGACCCACGCTTCGATCACGGCTCTGCGGTGCAACCTTCCCCGTGGCACCGCAGCCTCGCGTCTCCCAAGCAGCCACTTTCTGTTGCACAACAAGGTGAGGTGGAAGAGCCCAAATTAGCACCTTCTTCCTTGGGGAATGTCCCAGGGGCAGGGCCATTGCCTGGCCCCAAAGAGGCCGTCAACGGAGCTATTTTTTTGGTCAAAGAATGTAGGATACGTTGCAGTTGCCGCGGCATGAAAAGTGGATCAGTTGTGAGGAAATCTCCTTTCCAGCCTCTCCACACAAGGCAACCTCTCCACATCTTTGGCCATGGCAGCCGCTGTCCTCTGGACTTTCTGTAATTCCACGAGGCCGTTTTTGAGACGTGGTGACCGCAACTGAACATGGTCCTCCAAGCGTGAGGACATCAGGGTTTCTACACAGAATGACACCTTCTCTGTTGCCTGTGGTGCCCTTCTTGGTGGTACTCCGTTTTGTTGGCTTTTTTTTTGGCAGCCACCATACGTTGAGATGATGATTTCAGAGAACTGCCAATGACAACTCTCATATCTCTTCACTGGAGATGTAAAGGCGAGCTTTAGATCACTTTCTCCTAGATGTTTTATTGTGCTCTTGCTGCAGATCATCTCCTAGTTCTTTGCTCACTTTTGGGAGTACCTTATGCAGTTCCTTGCTATCAATGCAGTGGATGACCGCTCAAAATCAGCCCTCAAACGCCCTCAAAATAAAGCATTTTGTTTGGAATATTTCTTTTAATTTTCTGTTAGAAATTCTGAAGGTTTCTTGCCTTCATTCTTTTTAGGAAGACTTAATTTTTTTCTTTTTTTTCCTTTTTTTTTTTTTTTAAATTCAGTCTTTTTCTTTAAATGGAAAACAAAACAAAATACAGAAAAGCACGGGTTTGCTGTGCTCTTCTTGTAATATCCTGCCTCCACATGATTCCCYGGAGATTTAGGGGTGAAATTTTGTTTGGGCATTTTTGCCTTTGTCTCGTCACGGCCCCAGCGGTCCGGAATGGGGGACGGAGGTGTGAAATGGACGGCTCCGTGCTCTTTGGGTTGCTTCCCAGCGAACAACTTAATTTACGAGCAGAAAGCCGGCCCGTCTCTCCTTGGCGGTGTCCAGAGCTCCCCRGGAATCACAGGTGTAGTTAAAAAATAATTGGATAAAACTACTCTTTAGTCCCTGCGAGTCCCTTTGGCAAAGCGCGTTCTGCAGACGTGAATGAGGCTGGAAAGCATGGAATAAACATTTCTGTGCTCACTGGCAAACGCTGGAAAGCAGCAATTTAGGCTCTGAGCCCCTCATCTGCCAGCGATGCAGGTGAAACCAAGGCAGCAGTTTGGTCCTCAGTGTGACGGAGGGTTACAACATTGCGAGAAGGTGATGAACATTCAGGAGGTGATGCAAGCCRTTTATGCTCTTTTGGGTATGAAGAAACCAAGCTATAGAAGAATTCACCTTATCTAACGCACCTGCTGCCAGGGCCATGAGGGCACTAATAGGTTTTAATGAGGCTGGCCAGCTTCACCTGGGCTCTGTGATGGGCCAGGAGCTCTATTTAAGCKCAGGCCAAGGGCCTCTTCTCTCCTAAGCTGGGTTGCAGCCATGGTTGTCTCTGGCTTTGTCCTCTCAGTGGACTTGCAGCTGTGCTCTGTGTGGGTCATCTCCTAGATGGATCCCTTGGGTCAATCCAGCCCACAGGATGGATCCTGTGGGCTTCTCCCTGGCCCCAGCTCTCATTCCTGGTACTACTGCTGCAGCCTGGAGCRCCTTGGGGCCTCGCTGGTGGCTGTGGTTTGTCCTGGGCTGCAATGGATCCTCTCACCGGCACCCTTCTTCTGCTGTGGTGAGGATGTCAGACTGTGCCTGCATTGGTGAGAAATGTGCCTATGCTGTGGACACCTCTGCTCCTGGCTAGTGCCCAGTCATGGAGATGTCCTGTTCTTTCTTCTCCCCTGCATGTGTTTTAGGTGGGTGCTCCTTAGTGATGAGGAGGAGCAAGGCCACTGAAGCTGGTGGAGTTAAATCRGTGCAAAGTCTAGAAATTTGGCAGGACAGTCATGCAGGTTCAATGGGAAGAGCTGCAAAGATCTGATTAAACTTTTTCTCCAAAGGCAAAAGTTTTTCTGGAGATGCTTCAGCTGTTATTGGAGTTGGGATGAAGAAGCAAGGTTTCTGAGGCTGGAACAAATATAAATCATAATAACGGTTGGGAGGACTATGTTAATCTGGATTGCCTTCTGTTAYGTGCTTCAAAAACTTGAGCCATTCTTCCTCTGAGTATCTTGCAAGTATCAACAGATAAGAAAGACAAAAGGCAGCAAGTGGGGATATGTTCCTCACTCTTGCTTCTCATCTGCAAAAATCAAAGCACCTTGCAAAAATTGGCAGCGGTCTCCGTGCACGACTCATTGAAGAAACTGAATGCAAACATGCTCAAGATAATGCTGAGGATTAGAAGTGATCAGACCGCAGCAGTTGTTCCAGCTCTGCGTTTTTAATGGCTAAGTTGCCCCAGCTTGGCTGATGAGCAGTGACTCATTAAGCCTTAACGAGATTGTGTTAGCATCTAGCTGTACCCTTAACCATGGTGATTCTCATGTGGGACCCTTAATGTGACTTGTAYGTTTGGCAGGAGCTGGAGAGCCTTAGGAAGCTGCCCTGAACCCAGCTGGCTCCACCACCTGTGCTTGTGGCCTGGATGGTGCCTGTGGGCAAAGCCTGGACTGTGCAGACTTGGTTCTGGACAAGTCTGGGAAAGCCTAAACTTGAGCAGAGCAGTGCTCTGGCAGTGACCCGGTGGATCTGGTTCCTCGGAGCCTTCCTCAAGGGCAGGGAGCACAGTTTGACCCTCAGCTCCTCAGGCTTTGCTGGTGGTGCTCAAGCCAGACATGATGATGATGCTCAAGCCAGGCTTATTGGCAGGAACAGCTCCACGTGCATGAGCAACAGGTGAGATAAAGCTTCTCTTGTGTGGGTTTTGGRTCAGGGCAAGTGGCATGGGGGCAGCACGGGAGGTTCTGAAAGAGATCTGACTGCAGGGGCAATCCAGCAACCCCAGGAATGCTGAGGAAATGCTGGGAAAAGCCAGTGTCCTTGCCCTGTTGTCCCGGCAGCAGCCAAGCGRTGGTTGATGTGCTCTGAAAACCTGGCTCTTGGTGTGCACAGTTAATGAGTGTCAGACTTGGCCCTTGTGCCCTCCTTTGGACCTTCCCCTCAAAAGAAAGTTTGGCCCAAGCTGAGTGGTGTCCTTCACCCCAAGAAAACAGCATCGACCTCCAGCAAACTTGGGTAAGACTTTTCTGACCTATTGCTTAGTCATTTGCATTTAGTGGTAGGGTCAGCTCAGTCACAGTTGCTGCTATTTCTTTTTACTGATTATTAGATGATTGGCAGCTCCAGTTGTTTAGGAGACCAGGTGAATTAAAATGGTTTGTGTTGGCCAGTGCTGCTCGGGATGGCACAGAGGGCTGGAGCTGGGAAGGCTGAGGAAGCCTTGGAGTCTTGCTGAAAGAGCAGGTGAAAGGCAGAGACATGGATGAATCCCATGGGATAGGAACTGTCTAGCACCCTGGACACTGCCCCCAGAGCTGTTCCCCATGGGTGCAATGCCTCCACGTGGTAGCAGGAGCTGCTCCTGTGCCCTTGGCAGCCCAGGCACCTCCACAAACCATGAGCCTGYACCCCGGGTCTTTCTGGCTCCAGCAACTGCTGCTGTTGTCTCTGTTGGACCCTGTCTTTGAACTCGGGCAAGTGCCACTGGAACAGGGCTCACAATCTGCCTTCCAGCTCCTCTTTGCCACCAGCGCCAGAAATGCTTTTGCTAAGCAAAAGAGGAGACTGATGTCATCCCAAGTCTCCATGAGCCAGGGAACTAAGCAAAGGCCTGGAGTGCCTCTATCTTAATCCAACTGTGGTTGTTCCTGCTTTCAAGCCCTTATTACCTGCCTAATTCTGCACTAGGATATTGCTCAGACATCTAAGGAGATGCAAGCTGGCAATTTCGTTGCGCTCCTGAACATCTCCAGCAAAACACCCGCCGGTGCCAAGCCCTTGGCTCCTGGCTCCTCAACCTGTTTCTACTAAGTAAGGAGATTTCCAAGGCGAGGCTGCCTTGGCCCTGCAGGAGGCACCTTTTCTCCTGCCAAGGCTTGGGCTGGAGCGCGCCGCTGTCACTCAGGGAGCAGGAATGCAGGCGAGGCTGCCCTGTGGTTAGGAGAGCTCCACCCCAGAGACAGAGGTAGGCGCCCAGGTACCAGCGCAGGAGACTTGGGGCTCATCCAGGGCTGCTGATGACAGGCACTGATCTGGTGGTTAACCCTTTGCCTGCCTTGCTTGCCTTCTCTTGGTAGAAACACCTCGGGGTTTCTAGCTCGTTGTGTGTTGGGCTGTTGGATGGTGTGAGAGCAGCTCCTGGGTGCCAGGTCTTCCATGGAAAGGCAGGAATACGTAGGGTCTAGTCCTTCTTGGTGCCCTTGCTCTAGAAGGGGTTTCTCAGCTGGAGAGCTATGGTTAAAGGAAAGGATCTCTGTCCTATGTTTGCCCTGGATGGCTGGAAGGCTATGGGGGACTCAAGGTGGGAGGGATTAAGGAACCTGCTTTTTCTCTGCACCCCTTGGCATTTTGGGGTCTCCGTTTGTGTATTGGCTGTTCTGCTGTGGTGTCCTTGAAGGCAAGAGGCTCTGAGTCGAGAGACAACCAACCTGAGCACTGCACTATGGTAGATTAGCTGTCCATAATGTGGACAGGCTCAGTTTATACTTTTTTCATAGATGAGAAGCTGGACAACTTGACCGTAACTGTTTCCCTGGCTCGGTAACCAGAGTTTCATCCACCTCTTGCAATGGCAATGTCCTGGTGGTGTCCTCTCCATTGCTGTACCCAGAGCAAGGCCTTGGCTGGGGCCTAGGGTCTCCACTGGTATCATAATAATCCCATTGTGTTTTAGCTGTTTGCTTATTTTTGACTAATCATGCAACTTTTATGTGTGTGAGTGTGTGGAAGGATAAACCTCACAAGCAAAATCAAACCAGGCCAGGCTTCCTGCTCTGCTCCTTCCCCTGAGGATCCTGAGCTTCATGAGGGTCAAGCACCAGACTTGCCTGCCTTGCTCTGTCCCCTCTTATGTGTATGTTTAAGGCAATAGCTAAAAATCCCTGCAATATCTTAAATCCTTACAAGATGGCAAAAGACTTGATTTGCCTTTGGAGCTGTCTTGCATCCAGGAGCACCCCAAGCTGATGAGTTCCCTGGCCGGACTATGGTTGTGGCAGCCCTTCCAAGCAGTAAATACACCTTAAAGCACTTCAGACCCTTCAAGCAAGGGTCCAGATCTTGCTTGTTGCTTGTTTCTCCCCTGTCCCAAGCTCACAAGTCAAGTGCTTAAACRGGCTTCTTTTCCATGGCCTTGTACCTGCTGTTGGGACTAAGGTGCAGCACATCGGTCCACCTGTCTGGGGGCTGTGGAGCTGCTTCCCCTCGTGTTTGGGGAGCACTTCACCATCTGCAGCAAGGGAGCAGCACAGGTGGGAAATGGTGACCTGTGGCCATATGTGTTGGGACCCTTTCTAGCAGGAGACTCCAGTGTGGCTTTGCTTGGCACTCAGTCCTGAGATGCTCTTAGGTTTCCTCTTGCCATCTCATGGCAAATGGTCAAAGTCTCTACTCCGGCTAGAAAAGCCAGTGTACTCACTGCTGTCCCTAACTGTGTCTGTAAGTGGAATGACTGGAGAACCTTTCTCCCTGAAGAGAGTGTGACTGGGGAGTGGGCACTTAGCTCTAGCTTGCAAGCAAATGTTCCCAGACCCATGCCCACCTTCTTAACCTTTGCTGATCTCTGCCACCCAACAGTCGCTGTCAACAGGTCCAGCAGGTGCCTGGAGACAAAGGGAATCTCCACCTCTTCACACAGCAGTTCTGGAGCTATCGGACTTATCCAAATGTGTTGCCAGAGGACAGGGTACAGAGTAATGCAAGCAAGGACTGACTCCCTTCAGACTGGCATGGGTGGTGGAGTCAGTTCAGATGTGGTGGCAGTTCTGCATCCCCATCCTTTGCTCAATTGCTGTGTTTTTGAACAGTGCCCTGAGGACATTTATCACATGTTGAACTGCCTTGATCAGAACTCAATATAAATCTTCAGGGCAAATATCCCCCTCTCCTGAACACCGCTTTAATGGGCTTGCAGACTAGGTTGCTTCCATCCTTAGTGTGGTCAGCAAGTGTGGTATCAGCCTGATAATCTGTGAGGATGTGAATTGTGCAGAAAAAGAAATCAAACCCACCACAGTCACTAAAGACAAAACCCAGACCACTAAAAAAGCTCCTGGGAGAAGTTCTAGCCCATGGGAAGGTGATTAGAGAGAGCTTTAACTTTCATCTTGGCTTCCCACCGCTGTTCCCTGCCACAAAGAGTCATGATCTGAGAGCCCCTGTTTGTTTTAAGGAGGAACAAAGCTGAGTGTAGTTAGGAAGGGTTAATAGTCAATCAGTGACCTCCATTTTTAGTAGTAGACACTAACTTTCTGAGGAAAGAGGCTGTCTGTGGAGCTGACAGTGCTGCCTTGTTTTAGATGGGGTTTTTGAGCTCAGCTCTCCTGTTTCTGGTCCTCTCATGCCACGGAAAGGGAGGGGTGACCCCGGCTTCTGGCCTCTTGGCCGCTCCTGGTGCGTGTGTTGCAACGCGCCCAATAACGTAGAGCATGACCTGCTCCGAGGGCCTGGCCCCGAGCCCTCGGCCCYGCTGATGTCATGCAGGACGTGGCGATGTCGCCTCGCGCCGCAACACGCTCCTGCTGACGCAGCTCGGTGTCCCGTGGGCACCACCATCCGCCGGGCACCGCCGTGGATGAATCCTCTGCCCTCGCTGTGAGCGTCGGGGCGGCCGGAGCCCTGCCAAGGCTGCGAGGGCAGCGGAGCCGGCGCTCGGCCCCGCGGCACCTCTTGGCTGGCTCGGTGCTGACGCACCCCTTACCTTGCACTGCTTGAGCTCAGGTTGGTGGGGTTTCATGCTCGTGGCCTGGGAAGCCCCATCAACTGCTTGGTCCTCGCTTTGGCTAGAGATGGAGCAAGGGCAGCAGTGTTTGCCCAGCAGGAGCTTTTTAAACTCATTTGTAGGAGCTTTTCTCGGGCTCCCTGCTTGGGAAGCGTAGCCTGCTGCCCTCTGCCATGGCTTCCTTGATGGTGATCTAGTCATGGAAGAYGCTTTGGGGCTGGTCCTCTTGGATACGGAGCCTGGACAGCATCTGCGAGCACAGAGCATGATCTCCATGGCATTCCACATCCCGGAGCCAGCCCTGCTCCTGGTGCTCCCCTGCAGCCTGTCTTGGGGATTCTTGTTTTTTATTAAAGATCAAGCAGAACTGGATGAGTGCAGATCTCTGAGGGTCATTAACTCGCATCAAAGGGCTCCCCGCAGAGCCCTGGATATATCAATAGGGACTTGGTGGCTCCATGGAGCAAAGAGCCTGTGCTCCCAGCCTGGCTTGCTCTCGTGTCCTCAGTTTGGTGCTGCCTTCTTGTCAACAGCCGTGTCAGCAGCTCCCGGGCAGTCGGATGGGTGGTTCCTCTCCCACTGCTTGGACCCACCGCTGCGAGGGTCCCTGCTCTCCAGCTCCCGCCGCACTTCGCGGGGTGCCTTTGTCCTCCTCGTGGGATAACAATGAGCTCTTGCTCCCCTCCGCATTCCTTCATTTCATCCTGTTTTTCTCCTCTTTATCTCAAGAACAAGCCGGCTATTCATTCCAGGGGCGACTGGCTTCGGACCACCTACGAGCGAGGCATCTGCAGGACCRACCACATCTCATCAGCCTGTTTTGCCTGTCAACAAAGCACCGTCAGGGCACCATGGGCATCCTCTTCTCTGACTCCCTTGCGCTCTGTGGAGGCCAAACACTAGTCACAGCCTTATGACGCCTCTGGGATGCCAAGAGGAGCAATTAAGACATCAGTGATTCTCCTCTTCCAACAGACTTTGCTGACTTTTGTTTATTTTTTTTGTGTGCTGATGAAGCTTTGGCTGGTTCCTTATTTACCTTACCTTGTGCTGGCAGGCCTAGGCTGGGCAGAAGATCTTTTCTGGAGAGATCTGGAGCTCCCCCAGGTCACTGTGTTCTGTCCCAGCTAGCTCACCCTCTCGAGACATGATGTTCATCAGCTGTCCCGCTGCAATGTGGTTCTTTCAGGACCTGGAGGATGGCAATCATTTGTGTACGGTGTCCACTTATCTTTGCCAATGCTTAGAAGTGGGGGGAATGGGGTGTTTGACCTTGAGTATGAGGAATTTGTGACTGCATGTGTGGGCTGTGTGGATGCAGCCGCCTGCTTGGAGCTTGCTTGGGGCTCATTGTGCGGTGTAGACTTGTCTTACATCTAATTAGAGACTTGCATCTCCCCTTCTTGCCTGTCACTCATCCCCCTCTCTCCCCCTCTGTCTTCACAAACTGCTCTCAGTGCAGGTGGAGGGAGAGCCAGCTCTGATGTCCTTGGCTTTTTTAATCATTTTAGGCCTTTCTGTGCTGAACCTGACCTGTAGGCTGGAGCAGAGCTGGGTTTGCAGGGGGCCAAGTGAAGCTCACCAGCAAACCTCTCAGCAGACAGGCTTGCAGTCAAAGAGCTCCCACTGAGAAGAACCGAGTCCGATGAGTGGGTGTCCTTTTCTCCTAGCAGTCTGACAAACTTGGATGCAAATTTGCCTCGGGGAGCTCCCTGCAGAGCCAGGACCTGAGCCCATGTTGAACCCGTCTTCCCTGCTTTGACCATGAGGTTGCTCTTCTCTCCTGCTGCCATCCCTGGATGATYCCTCCCATGGGAAGGGGACTCCCAGGGAATGCAAGTGGCCTGTGAAGGAAGCCAGTGTTGTGTGATGTTGCAATGACCTCAGGATGTTTTGCAGGGCAGCTTGTGTTCTGCAGGTAGCTCAGGTTTGGCTGCGATGCTCTCATGCACGAGAGCACCCACTTTGCAAAATCGGGAAGATTGTTTTCCTTTGTGTCACGGATGGAGTCATGACCTGGCATTATTTAAAACTGGTTTTGTATCTACGATTACTTTTACTTGTACAGCATTGCAGGCAATTATCTGCCAATAATTATTATGAGGAATAAATCCAGAAAGAGTTTATTTAACATGAATGTGTTTAGAAAGCTAAATGCCGAGGATAGGTTATGACTCGAAGGCTCAGGACTCCTGGGCTCTGATTCCAGGTTTGCTGCTAATTTACTCTGTGGCTCTGGCACTTAAGTCCTGAGGCAAAGCCTGAGGTGGACTTAAGGGGTAAGGGCTTTTACTCYCCATCACCAAATAAGCCAAAATCACGTTGGTGATGTTGAATGAAACAATAATATGCAAACAGTGTGTTAGGGCAGTGGAGCATGGGAAGCTTCCCAAGGGATCAGTTTTGTGGTGGTACTTTTCTCTTTATAATAACCTGCCACTGCAAACACGACTCGAAGTCTCTTTTTACGTCCAAATCAACTCGGCTGCCTCTCTTTAGGGTCCTAGCCTGGCAGAGCACCTTAAGAATAAACAGCAATTCATGCTGAAATTCTGTGGAAGTGGTTGAATGGGGCTGCATTTGTGTTTGAAGCTGAGCGGAGAGTTTTTCTGGTAGAAGAAAACCATCGGGCATGAAAGAGTCACCAGAAAATGGATAGACATGCCTGGAAATGCCTTTAACCCTTATTTATTGTGAGGCTTGTGGTTTGAAGAGCCTCAAGTCTCATTTCAGCTGTTTGGTCCCTGCTAAAATTACATAGGTGGGAAGAAACCACCCAGTGATCTGCACGGGCTCCGATGAGCAAGCCCAGGGCGAAGGGGTTCCTTTTTTTTTTGACCTTCTGTGTGAATTGAAAGCAGGTTTAGAGCTGAAGCTTGTGCTTTAGTGATGGCTGCAATGGGAGAAGGGCAAGAATGGGTGTCTCCAAAGCCTGTGTTGAGGCCAGCCTTGGCGTTCATGGTGCTGCCTTGCTGTGAGTGCTGGGGGTGAGCAGCACTTGTTTTGTCGTAGGGTTGGATTAACGTTTCAGTGGTCTGTGAGCAACGAGGTGAAGAAGATGACATTGCTGCGAATGAGGAGTGGATTGGGGTTGCTGTGAAGCTCTGGTGACCGTTGGTTGCTTGAGGACCAAGGTGTCCTTGCAGTGCTGCACCCTGCTTTGGGCCACGCGGGATGGGGAAAGGAGCCACGTGGGTCCCTGTTAGTGCACAAAAGGAAACTGAAGAATGAAAGTCTTGCAGGAGATTGCACAAGCCACGGAGCTGGCAAGAACACGCAGGTCTCTGGGCCTGCAGCCTTTCTCAAGGCAGGTTGCTCGTGTTGTGAAGGGAGCCTGGTCTTGCTGGACACCTAAATCTACAGGCGTGGAGGAAAGCAAGAGGCTTGCTGGGGAGAAGCAGCAAGGGGAAGGATCCTTGTCTTGGATCTTGCTTGAACCCTCACGGATTCCAAGGGATGAATATATCCCTGTTTCCAAAGGCATGAGAAGACCAGAGTAGCTGCTAGTGTTTTTTGGGACGAAGTATGCCAGCATGGCCTGTTGTTTTTGCACAACAAATGCATCGGACTTTGCTGCCTTGGTGCTTGGGAACAGCAAAGCAGAGCAAACCTTCAGTGTCCCTCAGTGCCCAACTCATTTTGGATCCAGGCCCTTCCCTCCCGACACACATYGGAGCCCTCCTGGCATCACAGGAGTCTAGAAATGGCGGCGGAGCAGCCGTTTCCCCTCCTTTTGGGATGGAGGAGAAGGAGGCTCAGAGCAAAGCAGCTCCCTTGCGGTGGCCTCCTGAGGTGGGGCAGGTTTGAACAACGTGCCAGAATATGTGGCTCTCCTTGGACAAGTTTAATTTCCCATCTTCTCAGCGCAGGGAGTGCTTGAATCGCCCTTTAGCGGTTGGGCACAGGAGGGGGAAGATCATTAACATACAAAGGGCTCCTCTTTCAACACCAGCCTTGCAAAGTTTCGTGATTTTAGCTCTGTCTCATCATTATTATTCTCTCTTTTTTTTTTAAGAAGCCCTAGTTCTTGGAATTGGGGAGCCTAATCTCAGCTTTCGTCAAAAGCTTCAACTACCTCATGGCTACAGAGGGAAATCACAGCTTCGAAAGGCACCACAGTGYTTATCTGACATGGACATTGAAATTTCTTAGTTTGCCTCGGAATTTGGCAGTCAAATATATCTGAAGCAGGGGCAAGTTGCCATTTCTGGCTGTTTGGGACTGGCAGACTTGAAGGGTCCCAGAGTTTCTTTGCTTGCTTCCACTTCAGTTGTAGGGGTGGACATAGAAAAAGCTCCTTCTGCTTCTTCCACATCTTGCCTGCTTTCCTCCTTTTTTTTGTCCCCTTCCATCTTGCTGGATTAGGTTGAAGCTCCCTATCTCCAAGGCTGGGACAATAAGCGCAGACCGGGTTACTGGGGAGCTCTGCTGTCTTGTTTCACCCAGGACGTGTTTTGCCAGGTGTGACATCAATCTCCTTAGCTGTGTCCCAGTTTCTCGGAGGAGATTCCCCTCGTGCTGGGACAAGCGGGCTGAAGGGTCCCGTGTAGCCCTGCTTGATGCTTCTAGTGAAGATGTGACCCATTTAGCATCAGGTGTTGTGTGGGTATGGCCAAAGCTATTCGGGTTAAACATCTTCACGGGTTCCTACTGACCATGGGCCTCAGGGGAAATAGGTCAGGTATTTTGAGATCTGTGTCATTGTGTTGGCTTAAAACATTCCTAAATGCAATCTGTGAAGACATGCCAGGGTGTTGACCCATCACCTGCTCCTACTACAGGCTGCCTCGGACGTGTTGTGCTCTTCATTGACAAAAACAACGTTGGAGCTCCACATTGGAGCTCACAGAGGCGCAAGGAGAGGAAAAAYGGTGGAGAAAAACCCATCTGCAGTCCTGTGAGCCTGACTCACCTTTCCAGGAATCTGGTTTAATCATTTATGCAGCTTCTGAAGGGACAGACAGACAGCATGAAAGCCCAACGCCTTTGAAAAGTGTTGCCTTTAAAGCATTTGCCTTCTGGGGGATCCCGTAGAAGTTGCCGCAGGGCTGGAGCGATAAACAAGACCCAAGTTTGTTCTGGTTCGCTGCGGTTTYGCCCCTTGCTGTGCAGTTGGGAGCCTGGTGTCTTGGCTGGAAGTGCCCTGATCTGTGGCCTCGTGGGAGCTAGAAGGTTATGTGAGAATTTCCAGCGGTATTCTTTTTTTCTAAGTCAACTTTTAGTCTCTGTGGAGAAGAGAAGGGCTGGGTTAATGCTCTTCTTTATCTTGCCTGGTCTTTGATGCTTTCCTCGCATCCAAAACTGCAGTGRATTGTCAGCTGGGAACAACTATTGTGCACGTAGCTGAAAAATGTTGTTTATTTAAAAACAGAAATCCAGTGTGTAGCCTTCTCCAAGTTATTTTTATGGAGACCAAACACTGTTACTGGTAGTTGCTGTTTCTGTTGCTCCTCTCGCTTTCCCATCCCTGCTACCATTTTAATGACAAAACTGAGACAAGGTGAGAGTGGGAGAGGAGGAAAAAAATATGGTTTTACTTTGCTTTTGAGGCAGAAATTCCAACCAAAACATCCATCTGTTTTTGTTGATTTTTTGCTTTGTTTTTAACCCAAGTTTTCAAGCTAAAAGTTTGCAGCTAGCACCAGCTCAGCTGTGCTGAACAGGCAGAGCTTCTTTCCCGCTGCTGGRTGCAGGTGTCTACTGGTTCTCCTCTCTTCCCACATAGACCTGCAGAGCTTGTGCTGCCCCACGTCTCCACACAGGGTCTCCCTAGCCTTGGACATAGCAGCCACCGGAGAGGAGCTCATTGGGCAACCTCAATTAAGAGCTGATGCTTTGGCCTCGGTTYTGCTTCCACTCTAGTCCCTGGACGTCCCACCATCACTCAGAGTGGAAAGGGGGTTATGTGTCAAAACCAAGTAGCTTTCCAAAATACAGGCTTTTTGTGTGTATTTACACTTAAAATGTTGTTTTCATCATGAGCAAAGGAAGAAGAACCAGTTCTTGCCATGGCAGCATAGAGATGCATGAGGAAGGCAAGTGGTGGGGCAGGTACCTAGGACTCAACTGAGGAGAAACTTCCCAGGCCTCAGCTTCCATGTAGGAGCCCACTAGACCTGGTTCTTCAGTGGGAGCTCTGGATGCTTCCAAAGCGCTTGGGATCCAGGTCAAAACTGAGCTGTTGAGAAAATCTAGCCACTTCAGGGATGTAAATGGGAGCTCAGCTGCCCTTGGGCCCAGTTCCTGGGGCAGGAGGGGAGGTAGATGGAATGGGAGGATGGGGACTGCAATGTGGAGAAGGGTAAATCTCGGTGAGATTCCCATTCCCATGCTGGGAGGAGACTGCGAAGGAGCTCGTCGAGGGGATCGGCACCATGTGTACCTCCTTGCAAGCGGGAAGCATGTGCTTCTAATTTCACTTGCTCGCTGTGTGCCAAAGGGATCTGCTTCCCATTGACTCTTGACCCTTCGGAGGAGAGGAGGGAAAAACAAAAGAAAATAGCCGGCCAAAACTACTGCTGCTGAGGTCTATGGCAGAAGTCCCACCAGCTTCAAGGGGACCGTGGTTCAACCTAGACAAGAAAGACACTCTCTGAGCTAGGACAGTGAAAAAMTAAACCTCTAGCCTTGATTTGGGGCACAGACTAGAAAGTTCTGCACCCCGGCTTATCCCGGTATTGGATCAAGACCACCTAGAGCTGCTCTCTTGGAAGCAGTGGGTGAAATCTGCTCCGCTTCCCAAAGTGGAAAATTCTGTTCAGTAGTCCCGGGATGAGTGCGGTGTCTAGCATGAGGGACGTGGTCTGGGARAGGACCTCGTTAGGAAATGGATTGGCTGACAGAATAATATTCCTAGATTTTAGAAAGGCCAAAAAACAAAGGCTTAAAATCATTTTATAAAGCAAAATTGCAGAAAAAGAAATTGTTTGGCCCAGTGAAAGCGTTCTTCAATAAATTTGAAATGTTGAATTTAGACTAACCCTTTAAAAGGTCTTATATAAAATAAACAGCAACATAAGAAATTGTTTTGAAAGGAGGAAAATAACCCTGTTTCTAGTTTACATTTGGGTCATTTTCTCCTGGCCAGTCCTTTGCATCGTCTTCAGTCTCCTCTCAAAGTGTCTCAGATAATTTAGACTTTCTCCATTTCCTTTCAGAAATTTCCACAACAGAGATCCTTTCTCTCCCTTACAACTTTCTTTGATTCATCCTCATTGGGCTGCTTGTTACATTAAATAATTMCTTCTTTGAGTGCCTTCACCCTTTAAAACTT